ATATAGGAGTCAGCTTCTCCAGAAAACTGGCTTACAGTTCCATTAGTCTTTTTTACAGCTGATAATGAGGATGTAAGATTTATACTGGGAAAGATAATTCTGAAGCAAAACTCTTTGAAACACTGCCGAATTTTATACATTCTGAGCTGATTAAGTGCTGGTAATATATGATACTTTGGCTGTTTAATATGATTTAAATACTTTTAAAGTTAATCTTCTAGGATTGAAATATAAGTGCTGCAACTTCCAACTTATTTTAGAAGCAGCTAGATCGTTGTCAGTCATGTCAATCCTTCAGTTCCTCCTATTAGTGATTTAAAAACATGCAAGTCAGGAGTTTTTCTGACCCAACTGGCTGTATACATCCACTGGGTTAGTCTTTAAACAGTGAAAACAGAGGCTCAACATGACATCCAGTGATTCTGATACTACCAGACAAGGTGAGTATTGATTTGCAGGTGTTGAACTTGTGTTACATCAAGCTTAAAAATCCAGCTTTGGCTATTTCTTTTATAAAGTGGTTAAACCTCTGACATGAAATATGAACAAAGCATATCCCTCTTTAGTGTGTACTTGTCTCAATCCAGAGCACTAAGTGTCATTTCTGTCTGCTGCTTTGTTCTTTTGCTATCAGCATGAATCACTTGTGACAAGTTTTCCTGACACCAACCAACAGCCTGTGATTGACAGCCTCAGCTCAGTTCATGGGTTCTGTTTAAAGGGGGGGGGGTTCTTTCCCCCCAATCAGCTCTCACTGAGCCTAGCATAATGTTGCTCCCTGCCACTTGCTTTTTGGAAGCTGTGACAAGCTGTATAAATTCTGCACATTGAAAGGCTACAGAGAAGAGAGGGAGCAGATAAACAGGCACAATTTATGTAGGAGGATTTGTTTAATCTCTGGGTGTCAGCCGAGGCTTGTCATTTCACTGTGTTTATGTAAGGGTCTACAAACACTTTAACCTCTTCTGCACCACCCTATAGCAGAAATACTGCTACAGGGCGGCATGTGTGCACAAAATCACGCCCCCTACCCGCATCACCATTCGTGGCCCTCTCGGCTGTGATTCCCCACCATCACCTGGCAATCTCCAAGTATTACTGATGGGGGGAGAGACCTGTGTATAAACAACACATATCTCTCCCCTGTCAGCTCCTGCACACTGTTTTGTATGGCTCTGCATAGTAGAGCCATGCAAAGCAGTGTGCTTAGAGTATAAAGCACACCCACAGCACACTGTAAAACAGCACGCAGTTAACTGTTTGATCACTCCACATGTTAACCCCTTCCTTCTCAGTGCCATTAGTACATTGTCAGTGCTTTTTATTAGCACTGGTTACTGTATTGGTGTCACTGGGGATGTCACTGACACAAAGTCAGTTGCCCCCAGTGTCAGAATGCCCACTGCTGTCCCGCTATAAGTCGCTGATCGCTGCCATTACTAGTAAAAATTAAAAAAGTATATATACCCCGCCATTTGTACACGCTATAACTTTCACGTAAAAAAAAACTAATTTACACGTATTGGGATTTTTTTTTTTAGCAAATACATGTAGCAGAATACATTTTGGCCTAAATTTATGCCGAAATTAGATTTTTAAAATTTTTTTTCATCACTGGACATGTTTAATAGCAAAAAGTCAAAAATATAGATTTTTTTTTTTCAAAATTGTCGGTCTTTTTTGTTTATAGCACAAAAAATAAATAATGCAGAAGCAATAAATTACCCCCGAAAGAAATCTCTATTTGTGGGGAAAAAAAGGATGTAAGTTTAATTTGGGTGCAGCATTTGCATGACGGTGCAATTTTAAGTTAAAGTAACGCAGTGCAGTATCACAAAACATGAACTTGTCAGGGGGGGGGGGGGGGGGGGGGGGGGGGTAAATCCTCTGGAGAGCAAGTGGCTAAATAAACACCCCAGCAAAGATAAACCAAAAAATACCTTGTTCTGAAATACTCACTTTAAATCCATTGCTAACCTCTGCAGAAAGCCTGCTCTTCCATTAAGTGGTGACTATCGCCTGGGTACAATGACAATCAGGGGTTGTCATCCTGCTTTCTATGAGCCCCAGCTGGCACGCCTCCTTGGAGTGTGTCATCATGCCAACCTTCGCTCATAGCACTGCTGCACTAAATATTGCTTGTTCTGTAGGTCGTGTCTGTAACAGCAGTAAGGAACCCAAAAATCTGTACAGACTTGGAATTCAAATTAAAGACATTCCCTGCAACAGTAGTTACATTTTTAGATACTTTTTAAGACAACTTATAGGTATAGGAGAGAGATAATATTCTTACTCTCAATACAATACTGAGACTGCTCAGGAGGTATTAATAAAGTCAAACTCTCCCGTTTCCAGGTCATTTTGAGAAAGGATAAAGAAAACATACATTTTGTCTAAGCAGAGAAAGCTCTGATTTTGCGCTAAAGTTTTGATATATATATATATATATATCTCTATCTCGACTGATTTGTATTGGCCTTACACAGTATAGCTTTAAACATATGATATATATTTTATATATATATAATGCTGAGTGAGCATCACAGTTTTGAAACTTAAAAAAAGTTTTTATGAATGTTGACATTAACAAAATAGTCTCTTTTCTTATTTTCCATCCAAAACTGTCTGTTTAAGACAATGGCCTGTAGCAGTCTCCTGTCACATAGTAAGTCACTTTCCAGTGTACTTGTCAACTTTCTGAATCATCCAGCAGACTTTCAGTATTGATGGCAGCTTCCCAGACATTCCCGTCTGCAGTCTACCTGAGACAAGCAAGCCTGTTAGTGTCTTAAGGTATGTTTGCATGCAGCTATTATACAGTAGGTGCTAGAGTCAATCTGAGAAAGATTTTAAAGGCAAACTCTCCTGCTCTAATCTGATAGGTAAAAGACAATGAGGTTGATTTACTAAAAGCAAATAGGCTGTGCACTGCAAGTACAGTTGCTTTATATCTGAGGGGAAGCTCTGAAATAAGGCAAAGCTCTGCTGATTTCTTTCATCCAATCATGTGCAAGCAAAATGCAGTTTTTTTTATTTTCCTTGAATGTTCCCCTCAGATCTAGAGCAAGTGCACTTGCAGCACACTTCCAAATCCACTTTCAGTGCACAGCCTATTTGCCTTTAGAAGGTCAACCCCAAAGTTTAGATAATTCTGCACCAACATTAACAGCTTCTGCGCCTCCCTATAGCACAAATACTGCTAAAGGGTGGCACGGGTGCTCACAATCATGTATATATGTGATTTAGCAGTTCCAAGTACATGGTGCGCTCGCACCGCATGCTCACTCTACCCGCACAGCCTTGGCTATCAGCACCCGACGATCTCCGAGGATTTCCAATGGGGGAGAAATCTACATGTTAACCAGGGGCGTCCCTAGGGTTGGTGTCACCCAGTGCGGAGACATCCCCTCTGACGACCACCGCAGAATGGATTGGATCTGCAGATTGAGCATAATGGATTGGACTCCATTATGCTCCCCAATCCGCAGATCCGATCCATCCTGCGGGGGATCGTCAGCATGCAACCTATATGGGGTGACACCGGACCTGCTCCACGAAAAGGTAAGTTGTAAACAAACTCAACGATCTCTGCAGGATGGATTGGATCCATCCTGCGGGGATAGTCAAGTTGCTTTACAACTTACCTTTTCATGGAGCGGGTCTGGTGTCACCTCGTGCGGTAGGTGTCACCCAGAGCAGTGCGCACCCCCCACACCTGGCTCAGGACACCACTGATGTTAACAATACAGATCTCTCCCCTGTCAGCTCTTGCACACTGCTTTGTATGGCTCTGCATTGTGCTTACAGTGTGCTTACAGTGAACCACACACATACAGCCCCCATAGTAAAACAGCACACACTTAGCCCTTTGATCGCTCCACATGTTAACCCCTTCCTGCCCAGTGCCATTAGTACAGTGTTAGTGCTTTTCACAATAACTGTATTGTTGTCACTGGTGATGTCAGTGACACCAAGTCAGTTCCCCCTAGTGTCAGAATGCCTGCTGCAGTCCTATAAGTCGCTGATCACCGCCATTACTAGTACAAAAAAAAAAAAAAAAAGTCCACTATATACAGCATACCGTCATTTGTAAATGCTATATATTTTACATAAAACAATTAATTTACACATATTGGGATTTTTTGAGCAAAAGACATCCATTTTAGCCTAAATTTATGATGAAATTAGATTACATTTTTTTACTGGGCATGTTTAAAAAAAAATAGTTTTTTTCCAAATTGGCAGTCTTTTTTTGTTTATAAAATAAAAAACCACAGAGGTGATGAAATACCACTGAAAGAAATCTCTATCTGTGGGAAAAAAAGGACGTACATTTAATTTGGGTGAAGTGTTTGCATGACTGCACAATTGTCAGTTAAATTAACGTAGTGCCATATCGCAAAAAAATGGCCTGGTCAGGAAGGGGGGTAAATCCTCTGGAGAGCATGTGATTAAAGTGTGATTAACCCCGCCCCCCCACAAAAAAACAAAACAAATATAGTCACTATAACACATTTCTTTTTTGTATTTATATAACAGTGTTGCCATCACTTGTATGCATGCTCCAGTAACATTGTGCCTATGGCTTACTCTGCCTTGTTCGTTACCCTAAGTTCACACTTATGCAAATTTCAGTACATTTTCCAGTTTGCAGAAATGCACTACAGTCCATTTACATTATTTCCTATGGCTCTAGTTAACATTTGTACGTTTTGAGCCGCTGCGGATTTTTGAAAGGGTCAGGGACATTTTTATCATGCAGCAGATTGCATTTTGCGTGTAATAGACTTCAATGGAACCGCATGAAAAACACATGTAAAATACATGCTGTGTTTCCTGCATGACAACAGACACCTCCCCCTAGCAACATTAAACTCATCCCAAAAACGTGAAACGTATTAAAAACGTATAAAAAAGCCTATGATGAATGCAAGATATACCGGGAAAAAGTATGAACTGCAACCTGCATAAGTGTGAACCTAGCCTTATGGTCCAAAGGGAAATGACTGGCTGAGCCAGGGGCAGACTGACCATTGGGGCACGCAGGCACTGCCCGAGGGCCCAGGGTCAGTATGGGGCCCCATGAGATGCCCCTGGTACCTTTCATAGGCTTTTTTTGGTGTGGTTTGAGTGTGGGTGAGGACACAGGGGCCCCATTATCCCCTATTGCCCGGGGGCCCCATGAGTTGTCAGTCCGCCCCTGGGCTGAGCCACTGTCAATCAAAAACTGTTACCTGCCATGTCAGGAGGTGCTGATGAGGTAAGTAAGGGAGTTTGATTGACAATGGCTTCTCTTGTCATTACAAATCATGGCAGGACAGATGCTACTGCCTACCACTCCACCACAGGCCATTAGGAACCAATGTGGTCATCTGACCTAAGGGTGGAATATCAGTACCTTTTGTCAAATGAACTGCTCTATAATTTGATTTGTGGGGTAAACTTCAACCTAGCTGTGTAAAAACAGTATATTAGGTTTACAACCACTTAATGATACTGGTAAGATAAACTTTAAAGTGATATTCATAGCATTTAAAAAAAAAATAACAAACGTTATACTTACCTGCTCTGTGTAATGGTTTTGAACAGAGCAGCCCTAATCCACCTCTTCTTGGGTGTCTCAATGGCACTCCTGGCCCCTCCCTCCTGCTGAGTGCCCCCCCGAAGCAAGAAACTTGATATGGAGGAGCCCAAGCAGGCTCGATCCTGAGCCGCTGCTCTGTGTGTCCACTCATATGGCCCCACCCCCCCTCTCTCTCCTCATTGGTTTACTGGCTGTGCCCAATGGCTCCCAATGCTGTCTCACCCAATGGGAAGGGAGAGTAATCGGAGTGCCGAGGCTCTCATGCACATTGCTGCATTGCTTTGGGGCTCAGGTAAATATTAGGGGAGCTGTGGGGCTGCTGCACACAGAAGGTACCTTGAGCCTTTACAACCACCATTAAACCAGTGACAATATATTTTACAATCAAAATTATCAGTAGATATAGAAATAAAGACAGCTAACTTGCACAAGTAACTGTAACAGTTTCATTCATGGCATTGCATGAATAGAACTGTTGTGGGAAACTGTTCAAATAGTGATTTTAGGTCCCCGTTATATAAAAGCTAAACTTGGCCATGCCCCTCCCTCCTCCTTAGCCTCTCCTTTTTAGCCTTTATGAGTAGTCTCTGTGACCAACAGGGAGCATTAGGAGGTGAGAGAGAGTGGCCTGAAGTCCAACTTTTATAAGAAAAATCAAGTTTCATATTCTGCTGCTTATATCTTTAGATAACTGATGGGGTGCATTTTCACCCAAATGCAAGTGCACTGCAGAGTATCACCATATACAGTTAAGTACTAATGTGCATTGTGGTACGCTGCATTGCAAGCAATAGTACATGCAGCTTAAGCAGAACTTTAGTCAGAGAATTAAAGTGTTACTAAACCCACATCAGTAAAATCAGTCTCTGTATATGCAGTAAAGCATGCTTGTTATACTCACTGTGGAACCTAAGGGGTAATCCTCTGCATTGTGCAAAAAGGATGTTTGATCCTGACTTATATGATCCTCCCCTTCTTCCAGTGCCCCCCTCTTATCTCCTGATAAGACATATTGTGTGGAGGGACACTCTGCACATGCTCAGTTTGGTGTGCATTGCTAAAGAGGTGTTTTTTTTTTTTTCTTGGGAGAGTACATGTGATCAGCACAGGGCCAATCAGCACTGTCCAGACTAAAGGCAAGGGTTCTGCATCCACCTAGAGCAGATAGAAAACTCCTCTTACAAGTTTTAACATGTGCTCTGCTGGGCACTGATAGAAGTCACAAGACTGCTCTAACTGCTGATGAGAAAAGGTATTTAGCAGTTTATACTTACTAAAATAATTGCACTTCCATGTTCTGTGTACTGTGGGAGACCAAATATAGTGAATGCAGGGTCCTGGGTTTAGTAACACTTTAAGTCCTAATAGATCAGTTTATGCTGGCCACTTTTGCGGGTATAGTTAGGTAAAACATTAAAAAAAAATATTGCGTAAAATCCAGTAATGGCTCACCTTGCTCTGCACAGCCTTAATTGCTCTATTCTGGGCACTTTGCCTAAGTTTAGTGAGTCACTAGAGGCCAATCTGCTGACAGCTTTAAAATTTACTGAGTGGGAGGAAACAACAAAAATGACAGTGCTCAGGTTCACAGCTGCTGATGCCAAGTAAGTGTAACTTTTTTTTTGTCCCTCTGGCAGCAGAGTTTGTGCTGTCACCTCTCCTGTTTTTCTTTTCATCCTCTTTTTATCTATCCTCCATTGGCACAGTCTGTGTCAGTTACTTCAGATACAATCAAGGCTGAAAATGCACACATTTTAATTACAGAATGTGACATATTGTTATTGAGACCAAGGAGAGGGAGAGTCTTCTCAATGAGGAAGTGAATGCTCTGGGCTTCAACAAAATGGCAGCCTCCAGCAAAAGAAACAGGAGCAATGCTGGAGACAATTTACAGCATACACTAATTTTGAAGTTGGTATTGGTAAAGTTCTTTAAGACTGCTCTCCCACATCATTCTGTGGATGGCAGCCACTGTAGGTAAAGCGATTTACGTGTTACATAGCTGCCTACTTTCGGGTTTTGAATGTGCGCACTCCCCCTAGGGTTGCCACCTCATCCCTTTAAAACTGAACACATTAATTACACGTGTTCTGAGGCTAATTTAACGCAGTTAAGGCATTAAATTAGTTTACTTACCACCTTAATCAGCCACAGAACCTGTGTAACTAATATGTATTCAATTTTAAAGGGATGAGCTGGCAACCCAAGCTCCCCTCTGCCGGCACCTGCTGTGATTATATATACCGGGTGTCTGTGAGCAAGTCCCAGCCAATGATTCACAGCCAGGACCTGCTGATCAGCTGTGTAAGATCACAGCCCAGAGCTCTGAGTTGACATTTAACATCAGAGCTCTGTACACAGGGAGTGACCTGTCAGTTTTTTAGTGTAAAAATAGCCCTCCAGTATATATCCCATAATTTGTAGGTGCTATAGCTTTCATGCAAACCAATCAATATACACTTATTGGGATTTATTTATCAAAGACATGTAGCAGAATACATTTTGGACACAATTTATGAAGAAATGTGATTTTTTTTATTGGATATGTTTTATAGCAGAAAATAAAAAATATTGCTTCTTTTTCAAAATTTTTTGTTTTTTTTTATACTGCAAAAAATAAAAAACCCAGCGGAGACCAAATACCACCAAAAAGCTTTATTTGTGAAAAAAATTATGGAAATTACATTTAGTACATCGTTGCATGACTGCGCAACTACTAGTTAAAGTAGCGCAGTGTGGTATACCATAAAATTGCCTGGTAATAAACGGGGTAATTGGTACATTTCTGAAACAAAATGATATATTACATGCAATAATACTCTGCAGCAGTGTAAATCCTGCCTAAAGTAAACCTGTGTTTTGCTAACTCTGGGCAAAGCAAGTGTAGGGATATTTCTGCCATCTAGTTTCTGCAATTATAGGTGGCTGTGCTTCTTACTATCATAGAGTTATTTATATACATCACTTTGTGTCTCTGCAGGCTAGGTCAGAATTCCCAGCTTGGAGGATTTATATATTGACTAATATCTTCATAAAGGGGACTATCCAGGAAGTAGACAGAGAGAACTGGGCCACATGTCCTGTTCATGAAGTTTCTGCTATTGTATTTTCACCCAGACCAGAAGACACTAATATAAACTAATAGTTCATATCCCAAACCATAATTCCCACCTGTGAGAAGTCCCATTTCAGGCTGGTCAGACAAGAGTTGGAGGACACCCCTGTGACCACTGACAAAACCTGCATCATCTTCAGGGGCCTCAGCAACTCAATTTTGCTGCAACATTAATCTGGAGGTATCTCTATTAATAACCATATATATGGGTTCCATTAGGACTCCTATTTGGCCCTTTGTTGGTAAAATGTGTTTATACGTTGGATTTATGTACTGTTTTTAATCTCCTCTTATATAAAGTTTGTATTATATCTATACCGTGTGCATCTACAGTATATAGTTATGATTAATGTTTTATGCTGGTTGCATTTGTTCATTTGCGCACAATTACTTTGTTTAGATGACTGGTTGATTTCCCAGGAAGAGAATCCCCCCTGTTCGCATAGGTTAACTTAGAGGCTCATTCAGAGACAGAACAAAAAATTTAAATGTCTGTAAAATAGACCTTTTTTGGCTGCAGTGTTCATGTAGCCTATAGGAGATTGCATAGACATTGTACAATCAAATTATATATTGTATGGCCACCATAAGTGGGCATTTCCCTTACCTTGGGGATATTTCCTGTCAGTTCCTGTTGTGCCTACAGGACAGGGAAAAAGGAGCATCTCAATGGGACACCGATAGCAAAAAAATGACAGGGGTTTTAACCACTCCCTGCTTTAATAGAAAAAAAAAGTCTTGCCTTTTTAATATTAATAAAGTGTCATGGGGATGTATTCCATAACCCATTCAGTGAAAAAGTTCTGAAGATTTAATCTGGCTAAACACTTTCTAAATTCAATACAGATTTCTCAGTTTGGTCCAAGAAGTGACAATAAATACTCTCTACTATCAATGTGTTCTTCACTGCAGGCTTAAATATTAATAGGGTTAGATTGTTTCAGTACAGCTTTTCTATAAATTAATGCAAACAGCTCATTTATTTATAATACAGCAGATTACTTCGTTTGCATTGCTCAGAGAGCTGCTAACACTTGGCCCACACTGTACAGCAGAAAATGTTGTTGCTTTTAATGGCACAAAATTAATTTTATGTTTGCTTTGAACCAGTCTTCTAACAAATATTGTATTTAAAATGCTAACTTCCAATGTGACATCTTTAAAAAAAATGAATATTGATAAACAAATGAAGACTTCTTCACAGATTTAAACCTTCTGCAGTAGTATCAATAAAATGTTATTTAAAGAGAGTAACTAAAAATTATGGTTAAAATAGAACTCCTCCAAGGCTAATAACACAGTTGTAATTGGATGTGACAAATACAGCAGGGTTTCCATACCCTGCTACGAGGACTACCTTCTCTTCTTTTCAATCCTCAATGTACATCTGCCTGTGAGGACACGTAACTTCCACTGACTTCAAGGTGAAATTTTAGTTACACCAGTGAAAGACAGCCAAAGCATAAATATCAAGAAGAGATAAGTGGAGAGACTTCACAGCTAGAGAAATTGGCAGCATAATTTTGGATTTAAATATCTTGTGTGCTTTCTAATGACAATCTACATAATACAAGATTATTCTGTTTTAGGGGAGATCTATTTTTT